AAGAATGTGAAAAGATAGTGAATAAAGAGAAAGGGAAAGATAAAGAAGAAGGGAAAATTCCATATAGCTCAGTTTGTACCGACGTGGAATCTTCCTCCAGTAACATTTGAACGATATTTTCTTTGACCTTTTCATTTGTAGCATAAGTTTACTTTCCCCTTTTGCGAGGGTCTTGGTTGAGTCAGTTTTCCACATTTTTGTTACTTGTGAACTTGCCATATTTATGTGGTATAGGTTCTTTTATTGGTTAGTGTATGTCATACCCCAAAATCTTCCCCACCTTCTTTCCACTTTTTATATGACCTTGGATCCTTTATTCATCTGCATCCTCATAATCATTTAGGACATTCATTTACAATTGCATTTTTGAACAATCATCATTGGTTCAAAGGGTGTTGTTCATGGCACAAGTGTTTGACAGGTTTATCTTCATCGTATTCTTGAGAGTCAAGCATATGATATCTTGGTGCTACATTTGACTGATTGTAGGTTACAAGTTTGATGGGCTAATCTCTTTATGGGCATTTTCATGCACTATTTCATTGGTCATTTGGTATGGATTCAAGACAGTGCTTTGCAATTCAGAGTCGAGTCAAAGCAGTTAAGAGTCATTCCTTCAAATTCAAAATTCATTCAAGTTTATTCAAGTACAAGTGCAAATATTCAGACTCAGAGTTGGAAGGAAACTACTATTCTCAAAACACAAGACGTGATTAAATTGATAATAAAAAGAGGTGCATATGAGTTCTTTTGACAAACAAATGTTTTGCCATACAAATTTATTTATTTTATTTACCATACGTTTTCACGTATCTATTTCACTTTTAGTTTCACCGTCAAACATTTACCTACTAGACGCCAGCCACCTCACTGTCACTATATCGTGCCCCTGCTATCTCTGATGAAAAGCACAGTCACATCTTTTCGTTTGAGTCTGATAGAGTGACATTATCTGCTCTCTTTGAAATAAAAGCAAAAAAATAAAACCCAAAAAAAAATTCAAAATTAATTGTTTAATTTTTTTATTAGGAACCAGTTTTTATTATTTGCCTTTGGCCACTAAAAGTCAAGATCGGCTTTAATTATTAATATATATTTTTTTTAGTCAAATGGTAGTTTTACTATTCTTAAAAAAATATAATAATATAATGCTACTTTGAATTATAATAAAACTTAAACCTTTTCATTTACAAAAATCAGATTTAATCATATTAAAATGTCTATTCATATATATATTATATCTTAAAATATCAAAACAAAACAAAATTTATTTGGTAAATTGGGATTTAGTGCATATTAAATATACAAAACAAAATTTTCATATATTGACCAAATCTCATTTTAATAATATTTATATAAATACAATTATTTTCAGAAAAGGTAAAAAAGCTAAAACTTTTACGGATTTAATTGTTATGCACTGACAGTATAAAAATATTTTACACTATATCCAATAAAAATATATCATTCTGTTATATCATATAAGTAGTTTAAAATTTTCTGTATGACTTAACAGGATATATAATCGTATTAGTTGACAGGATAAAAATAATTTATGTTATTAGTACATCACCTTTATTTTCAACTTTTATAGATGTTTAACTTTACACAAACTACAGGGACAAAAAGGACTCAACTTGCACACCTTTTATTCTCATATATATATATATATATATATATATATATATATATATATATATATATATATATATATATATATATATATATATATATATATATATATATATATATATATATATATATATATATATATATATATATATATATATATATATATATATATATATATATATATATATATAAAATGACAAAATTGTATTGAATTTTTTTTTAATTATCTAATTGAAAAACTCTTAATTTGAAGCGAAGAAAATTATTTTGAGTTCATTTGTTCAATTTATCCTTATTTTACTTTACACTCATTTTAATTTCTCACTTCAAAACCTTCACTTTTCCATGTTTTTTCTTTCTTCCTACAATTTTGAGCTTTCTAGTATTAGTTAGTAAAGTGCATAGTATTTAAAATTAAATACTTTGTGAATATTTGAAAGATGAGATCAAATGATGCATACCAACATTTGTGTTTTAATTTTTTAATTTATTTAGTCGGTTTTTCAAATTTTATCAATTTATTTAGTTAAAATTTGGTTGAATACCATTAATTTCTCTAATAGTAAATATTTTATATTTTTTTAGAAAATATATATAATATACCTTTTTGTACAGCAAAATCCGATTTAATCATATTAAAATATCTATTTATATTCATTTTAAAATATCAATTTATTTGGTAAATTGTGATTTAGTGCATATTAAAAATATCATATTTTTTACATAAATTTAATATTGTCAGTGCATCTATACAAAACTAAATTTTCATAAATTGACCAAATCTCATTATATATATATTGAAAACATAAATCGAAAAACAATCTCCAAGCCTTTCTGTTGTTACATTTAGCTTTCGAAGATGAGCAAGGTACATAAAAAAAAACTCTAATATAAAACTAATTATTTTATCTTAATAGTTTATGTTTTGCATAATCTATTAGTTTTTTTTAGGGATACAACCATATCAATTCCCATATCACTCTCTAAACTTTGATTTCCTTCTGTCAAATTATTCATTATTTGCCTCAAGAAAAAAAATTAATCGTTATTTTACTTTTACATTGAAAAATGTAATTTTTCACTTTAGATTCTTCTTTTATTTATTCATGATTTTTAGTTCCTTCAATTTTAGATAGCCTAGAGTCATATTTTGAATTGTATTGATTTATTAATGGTAGATCTAAGGTGGGTTTCGATATGATTTCGGGTCTTGGGGTTGATTTTTTACACCTTGTCTTTTGGGCCTTTGCGTGTGAGTTTCTCTATAATAAGGTTGAATCCCTCCTGTTTAAATACCTAGGCTTTTCAGTATGGCTAACCCTAAGTGGAGTCTATCTTGGACCCTTTAATTAATCTGTTAACCTAGATGCTTCATTACTCAAAGCACAAATATGTCAGTTTTGGGACTCGAATGGTCATACTTAAGTAAATATTTTTTGTAATCCCAATCTTCTTTTTGTCTTTTATGAAGATGACTCAAAAGATCAGAAAAAGCTAGTTAAGATTTAAAAATGGTTTTTTTTGAAAGGTGCGAAAGGTGATTCTAAGATCTTTTGGGTCAAGGGAAAAAATATTTGCAAACCTAAGAATAAAGGGGACTAGGAGTTAGAGACCTCTGGTTGGTAAACCTAACTCTCTTGACCAAATAGATACAGAGATTAGTTATAGGAGCTTCAAATCTTTGGAGCGAGATTCTTGTAGTTAGATATTATGTCTTGCTTATTTTTTCTGTTTGGAGAGGAAGAACAATAGGTTTTTAATCAGCTTCTACTTAGTGGAAAACTATTTCTCTTCTTGGGCCCAAGTATGATGAACCACCTAATTAGAATGCTGGTAGTGTTCTTAGGCTTGTGGGTTAGGGCTTCCAAACTTATTTTTGGAAGGATCCTTGGGTAGGATCTTTCTCCCTTAAGAAAAAGTTCATTGGTGTTTATTCAATCTTTACTCAACAAGATGGTTTTGTGTGAAGGTTGTAGGATGGAGAATGAGGATTTTGTTTGGGATCTTAGAAAGGTGAGAACCTTTTTCTTCTCAGCTAGTTATTTGTGGTTGATGACCTTCTCTTTATGCTTCATAGTTCTAATCTCTATCAAGATAAATGTAAGTGGAAGTGACATCATTCAGGAGACAGGGTTTTCTTTGTTTCCTATGAGTATCATATGTTGTGTGACCTCCTTATCCATTCTTTGTCATTTGAATAGATTGAGAATCTGACCCTTCCCCTAATCTAGGTCAGTTGACCCCCTTCTAAGGAGCTGATCTTCTCTTTGCGGATTCTGCAAGATAGACTTCCTTCAAGAAAAAAAACTATCCAAAAGGAGAATGATTATTGCTTCTAATGAGATTGTCCATTCATTGTATGATGGTGGTTGAGCAAGTCTCTCATCTCTTTGTCACTTATGAATTAGCCTTAAATGTGTGTTATATTATCTTTCACTGGTTAGCTCGGCAAATGGTTATTCCTGGTGACCATAGACTTTTGTTTGAGTATTTCCTCTCTCTAAGTGGAAGGGCTATGTCTATGGATGATTTTATCATGATTTGACATACTGTTGTATGGTTTATTTGGAGAGTTTGTAACAATAGTATATTTAATAGTGTTTTTAATTACAGTAAAAAAAATAGAGGATACAAGTATTATTTAGTCTGAAAATGATTTTTAAGTAGGATAGATGTGGATTCATACACTTTCTCTAACTGGCTTCAAAATCCATAGTTTGTCCTTACTATGAGGTTGATGGTGCTTTATGGTTGGTTTTATTTAATTTTTCATTAGAACGGTTTATGGTGGTCTTGATAGTCTAACATCTAACATGAATCCTCTAGGTTAGGTTTTTTTATACAAGGGTGTTTTATTTGTGCGATCCTTCTAGGATTTTTAGTTGTTTTTTTTTTTCCTTTCTTTTTCTCTTTTAACTTTAGTGCTTTAAGTATGTATCTTACGTTGAGGTGGTGTGTTTAGTATTCCTTTTGCTATCAATTTCTATTCTTAAAAAATGGTAAATAAAAAATCTTATGGGTGTTCTTTATCAAATAAGTTGTTTTTATCATATTTATTATTGTGCTCTTTTTTAATAATTAATTTTGTTATTTATACATATTAAAATCTTAAATATACGGTGAAGTTATTTTGTTGCACTAAAGTTTTGAATTTTCTAATCATTAATAAAAAAAAAGTTATTTGTGAATATTTAAAAGATAAGATTAGATGATTTATATTCAAAACGTTTGAATTGTTCTCCTCATGAGTTGAATAAACATTTTTACAGGTTAATGAATCACGGTTTTATTAAATATTAGCTCTCTCTAATTTTGTATTAGTAATTAATGTAACAAAATATTTTCTTGCATTTGCAAACCCTAAAAAAATGAAGGGAACACGTTCAAAAGAAGACATAACAAATGATGACGCCAAAATTTATATCAAAGAAATAAAGGCTGCGTTTAAAGACGAGAAACACAAGTTCAACGAGTTTTTAAAAACTATGAAAGATTTCAAGAAAAAAAGGTATGATTTTTACATATTTGCATAATTTTTTTATTTTATTTTTATATTTTGTTTATTATAATTGATTTGTTTCTCTGACTTGTAGAACTAACTTAGCATGTATGCTGGAAAGAGTGAAGGAATTGTTTGAAGGGCATCGAGAATTGTTATTGAAATTCAATACCTTCTTGCCAGAGGAATTTGAGATTACACCTCCACAAGAAAAGCCAAACGTGGATATAGAATACGCTAAGAAATATTTGGCCAAAGTCAAGGTATGAGTATTGTCCCATTAATATATATATATATATATATATATATATATATATATATATATATATATATATATATATATATATATATATATATATATATATATATATATATATATATATATATATATATATATATATATATATATATATATATATATATATATATATATATATATATATATACTAAATTACTTATTTTATTATAAATTAGTTTTTAAAAATTTGTTTTTCAGGCAATAAAACATAATTAATGTCCTCACATTGAAGAACTAAGTATAAATTACTGAATTAATGTTTTGTTACATAAAAGAAAAAATTATTCAATAATTTCAATATATAATAACACGTTGAATTTTTTTTTATATATTTATGTATTTTTTATTTTTCAGACATAAAATAAAATAAAAATTGATATTTTAAACTTTTACACACAATAATTTATTATTTTAATATTGATATATTTTTTTATAAATATTTATAATGGTATATTTATTTTGTCCCCTCTAACTAAAATTTCTGAATCCGTCCATATATATATATATATATATATATATATATATATATATATATATATATATATATATATATATATATATATATATATATATATATATATATATATATATATATATATATATATATATATATATATATATATATATATATATATATATATATATATATATATATATATATATATATATATATATATATATATATATATATATATATATATATATATATATATATATATATATATATATATTTTTTTTTTCATATTTGAATAATTATCGAACAATTTTCACAATAGTTTTTTTGATTTTAAATTAGAGAATTTTTGTTTTAAATGGCAATTTACTTTTAAAACCAACATATTTCATGTTGCATTTACTTAGATGAGTCTAATGGGTTCTTTGCATGCAGACTAGATTTCAACATGATCCTGATGTTTACCAATCGTTTCTAGCCATAATGAATATGTATAGAAACAAAGAAAAGAGTGGTGAAGAGATTTCACAAATGGTATGGTTTTGTCTTTGTGTATGTTTTATATTTTTTTTCTTTTTTTTTCAATAGTCATTTTAATTATCGTTTTATTTTATTTATTTTTTCAGATTATTTCACTTTTTGAAGACCAACTTGATCTCATTGATGGGTTTATTGAATTTCTTCCATGATGTGGAATGTGATGTTTACTCATTTTCTTAAAAGTTCGCGATGAGTTAATAAATACCTATGGTATGATTATAGAGAGAATTTTGTTATTTTAGATTTGCTTTTAATGTGTTGCGATTGTGTGACTTTAAATAAGCTATCGTTTAAACAAGATTTTATAAATTTGGTTTAATAAAGTTTTGTGTAAGAGAAATTAATTGATGAAATTCATAACATACAATTAAGTATTTTTTTTGGAGGTATGATAGTGGATTCAACAGGTATCTCTTGTTCTTTGTGTGAGTGTATAGTTGAGTCTGGAGCTATTTTATAAAAGTGTATGAGTTTCCAACGGATATTTATGGTTTGGTCTAGGTATTGGTATTACTTTTTGATGGTTTATTGATGATGGTTGATTTACTTGAGATTTAGCTTGTTCCTCTTTCGAGTGGAGTTTTTTTTTTCGTTTTTGTGTTTCTCCTCTAGTTTAGTCCCAATGTTAGTGGTTTAATTGAAATTTGGTTGTTTAATTAAAATTTGTTGAAAATAACTATGAGAGTGTTTTCTTAATGTCTTCATAAGATTTATAGATATTAAGTTTTGTTTTTCACAGGGTTAGTTTCATTTTAAAATGACATTTGTAATTAAACATATGATTCAATATATATATATATATATATATATATATATATATATATATATATATATATATATATATATATATATATATATATATATATATATATATATATATATATATATATATATATATATATATATATATATATATATATATATATATATATATATATATTGCATAGTCGAATTTAAAAATAGGCATTAGCCTTAACTAAATATTTTTTAACTTATATGTCATTAAAGGCTGTTAAAGAACAAGTGGTAGCAGACTTTATAGTTGACCACTCTATAGTCAAAAACTTCCTTGATTATATGGAGCTTGAACCTTGAAAGTTATACTTCGACGGTTCTAGTCATAAGAATGGAACGGGAGTAAGAGTTTTAATTATTTCTCCTAACAAAATTCCAACAAAATTCATGTACAAGGTTGAAGGTCTTTGTTCATATAATAAAGCTGAGTACGAAGCTTTAATCGTTGGACTTGAAATCTTGTGGGGATTGGGGGCAACTCGAGTCGAAATAATGGGTGACTCAGAGTTGGTCATAAAGCAAATTACAAAAGGGTATAAATGTGTTAAGGAAAACCTTATCATGTATTTTGTGATAACCAATAGGTTGTTACGAAGATTCGAAGTGGTAAGTATTCGACACATATCTCGACTTGAGAATCAAGAGGCTAATGATTTGGCCCAGATTACTTAAGGGTATAAAATTTCGAAAGAAAAGTTATAAGACGCAATCGAAGTCAAAGGAAGAGTTGCATCAACCAAATTATCCCCAACAGAATTAAAAACAATGAAGCTAGGATACACTGATGAAGAGAGCTTTGAAATATCGACATTAGATAATTTGACAGATGAAGATTGGAGGAAGCCAATAGTAAACTACTTGCAAAACCCAACAACTTCTGTCGAACGAAAGGTTAAATATCGCGCCTTAACTTATGTTCTGATGGGGAACAAATTGTTTAAAAAGATGCCAAAGGGTGTCTTACTCAAATGCCTTAGTGAGTCTAAGGCATACTTGGCTCTGTCTAATGTCCATAGTGGGGCATGTGGAGCACATCAAGTAGGCCATAATATGAAATGGTTATTATTTCGACAAGACATGTATTGGCCTATTATACTTAAGGATTGTATTGAATTCGCCAAAGGATGTCAAGAATGTCAAATGCATGCAACCATTCAACATATTCCTGCAAGCGAATTACATTTCATAAACCTTGGCTCTTCAGAGGCTGGGCTTTAGAATTAGGGGGAGAAATTCGACCAGCATCATCCAAGAGTCAAAAATACATTCTAGTCAAAATAGACTATTTCACTAAGTGGATTTAGGTTATACCATTGGTAAATATGGATCAAGATGTAGTGATTGAATTCATCCAAAAACATATTATTTACAGATTTGGAATCCCATAAGCTATTACAACATATCCAGGATTAGTTTTTACTGGTCGAAAAATGCAAGATTTTGCTAAAGAAATGAGATTCAAACTTTTGACCTCCACACCTTATTATGGTCAGGCTAATGGTCATGTCAAAGCGGAAAATAGGATAGTAATTGGGTTAATTAAGAAGCATGTGGGAAAGAAGTCAAGAAATTGGCATAACATATTGGACCAAGTTTTGTGGGCATGTCGAACCTCCCCTAAATATGCTACAAGCACTACACCTTTTCGACTAACATATGATCATGATGCAGTGTTACCAGTCGAAATTCACTTGCAGTTAACTAGAATTCAAAGACAACATGAGATTCCATCTAAGCCCTATTGGAACATCATGTTGGACAAGTTAGTTGATTTGGATGAAGAAAGACTGAATGCCTTAGAGTTATTAAAAAGGCAAAAGAAAATAGTAGAAAAGTCATATAATAAAAAGGTCAAAGTCAAATCATTTTTTACTAGAGATTTAGTTTAGAAAGTGATCTTTCCCATGGATCAAAAAGTTATAACTTTGGGTAAGTGGTCTCCTAAGTGAGAAGACCCATTTCAAATTATTAAATTTCTTTCCAATGACATATATGAAGTCGAATAATTAAATGAGGATAGAAGAATCTTGAAAGTAAATGGTAAATATTTAAAGAAATATAAGCCTATACTTCAAGAAGTGAAAATAAGCAAGGAATAATTCATGAAAAGATAGTCGAAGCCAAAACGGGAATCGAATAAAAGTTGCCAAAATGGCTCATTCATTACATAAAATGCCACGCAGGGATCAATATCAATACAACAAAGAAACAAGTTCATTAGTTACAAACAAATCAAAAAGGAAGGGAGTCCTTCATCTTTTGATACTTTGACCTCTCAAGCGTCAAGCGTCGTTCCCAAATAGTCTTGCTGTTCGAAAGTTCTTCAATCTCCCTCCCAAGCTTTTGAGCTATCTCAACATGGTACATACCAACTTCAAGTTCTTTGGCCTCTTTGTCATGATCAAGCTTCAAAAGTTCGACTTTTCGTTTCTTGGCCTGAGAAATCTTGTTTTGCAGCTATTTAATCTATTGCTCCCAGTCTTTGACATTTTTATCACAGGTTTCAATCTCCTTCTTATTTTGTTCAGAACCCTTTTGCAATTCTAAAACCTTGGCAGTAGACTCAGTGGCTGCATCTCATTCATCCAGTTGGGTTTCTGATTTATTTTGTATCTTATTCGAGAAATATTTGAGGCAATTGAAATCCTCAATAACAAGTTCAATTTGTGAGACCAGTTCCATTATAGCATTTGCAATTTCTAGAGAAGCTTCCAAGACAAAGACGTGTTTTAAGATTTTTTTGATCCCAGAACAGCAAAAAGTGTCATTCTCTAAGATTTTAAACAAGTCAACATCAAATACTTTCTCTTTAATCTGGGAAAGCAAATGATCCTCAGTCTTGTTAGCAGACTGATCACCCGACGCAGTTGTTAGAAGTATTTTTCGGTAGTGTTTTATCGTATCCACAGGGATTGATGAGAATATGTCATGCTTGTCGTTCAATGATTTAATGATTTAAGAAGGGGGGGTTTAGAATGGTTTCTATTTTTATAACAAGAGCTTGCAAGAAGTAAAACAGAATAAAATTTGCTCTTGGTTTGATAAAAACATGCCAAGATTAGGGTTCGCTAATCCGTCCTAAACGTACCCAACCGATCAAATATGTGAACGTAGTTTTAACCAACATAACCGCGTATCCTCGGAAAAACGTTCATTTCTAAAGCGATTTCGTGAATGTTATTGTTTCGACCATTAAACGATCTCTCTAAATAACACTCGAAATAATAATCATTAAGATCAATACAAAGTGAATATCAACTTTCAAACCTATGTCTAGAGTTTGTATAGTTGATAGATGAAGAGATTAGGTCAAGACTTGAAACGTTCATGTCTAAAGCAATCCAAACCATAAATATAACAAAAGATAGCAAATAACTTCATCTATATTGATCAAAGTATTATTCACATACAAAATATCAAGAAAAATACATAAAATCTGGACTAGCTACTTCTAACCTTGACAAAAGAGAGGATTTAGCCACCCATTTCGATGATAGCTTGAGCAACAAGTTTCAGAAGAAGGTTGATCAACATCCGAGTCGAATAATCGAGATTGGATGGGAATCCACCTTCTTTTTGTGAAAGATGGCTAAGATATGATGAGAAATGGAGAAACTAGGATTTTAGCTCTGAAAATCCTCTCAAAAGAAAGTACCAGAAAAAAGATATTTTCCCAAAAAGTAGCACATACTACTTATAGAAAGACTGTTGAGCTGTCATATTCGCACTGCGAACAAAGTGTTTGCCTAGCGAACAATGCAATTTGACACCTAAAGTGCCTTTGTCCTGTGAAAACTCCCCTGATAGATTTTCAAATGTTCGCTGTGCGAAGAATCCTTCGCAATGCGAAGACTTCGCTGCAAACTTTGCACAGCGAGTTATTATCCAAATACTTACTGTCTCAAGTCTGGGGGTGTTCTCTAGACCTTCGCTTCCTCTTCGCTCCAGCGAGTTGTTCGCTGCCTCTTTCGCACAGCAAACTTAGGTCCCTTTTCTTTCTGGATGAATAGTACATTGGTTTTCCTGGCCTTCGCTGGCAAGTTCGCACAACAAAAGTTTTGAAGTTTTTTTGGGCAGGTGTTGCACCCCAAATTTTGACCCCTTAGATCCTCATCATCATTGTAGGATCATATTCATTTGATTAACTAACCTTAATCCAGTTCAAGTTTATCTTTGTCAAGATGCAGATGAATTAGGGTTCCGTACCGTCAAAATCGAGACTTTAGTGGTCCGATCAATCAATGTTTTAGATTCATTCAACTTAAAACAAGATCAAGAATACAATATTGGGTCAAGTATGAATCCAATTTGAGGTGGTCACCCGGGAATTGAGAACAGTGCAGTTCAAGACACC